AGGAGGATGAGGAGGAGGAGGAGGAGGAGGAGGAGGAGGAAGGAAGAGATAACTATGGAGCCTGTGGGAATCCTGGGATTGGTGTCTATTTGCTTGTGTGTCCCTGGGCCCCCTGAGGGAGGGGGAGCGGCAGGGGGGCCCGGACGGGCGAGGGCGACGTGCAGACCCCGAGACTCTTCTGCACTCGAGCTCGGCTGCAACACGCCGCGCGTCCCATGTGCGCGCGAGTCACGGAAGACGACTCCTCACGGTCACGGGTGTGGCGTGCTGCGCAGCTGGCCTCCTCCCAAGTCCGCCAGCGCCCGCCAGCACAGTGCCACCATCAACGTCCTCGCGTTCCTCCGCCTCCGTCCCCCCCGAAGGGTGCAAAGGCGACTGGGACAAGATTGTGGATATCCAAAAAAAGAAACGCTGCGGAACAGCCTGGGCAGCGCGGACCCATGACGCGAAACCTTCGACTGTGTATCCCCAGGACGTTTGAGGGAGCGGCACGGTCGCGACGGCAACCCCATGTCCGAGGAGGAGGAGGAGGAGGAGGAGGAGGAGGAGGACCACCGCGACGACGAGAATGCCACAAGAGTGGAGTTCCCTTCCCATGCCGCTGTGAATCCCGTTTCTTTGGCCATCTCCCCTTCCCTTCCCCCTGTTCTTGCTTCTCCTCATCCCCTGCATCCCCGTTCACCTGTCCTTTTCCTCCTCCTGCTCCTCCTCCCCCCCCCCTCTCCTCCTCCTCCTCCTCCCGCATTCCTCCTCTTCCTCCTCTCCTCCTCCTCCTCCTCCTCCTCCTCCTCCTCCTCCTCCTCCTCCTCCTCCTCCTCCTCCCCCCCCTCCTTCTCCCCCTCCTCTTCCTCCTCCTCCTTCTCCTCATCATCATCATCCTCATCCTCATCCTCCTCCTCCTCATCATCATCATCATCATCCTTCTCCTCCTCCTCCTCCTCATCATCATCATCCTCCTCCTCCTGTCCCTCCCCCTCCCCCTCCTACTTCTGCTCATTCTTCGCTCCTGCAACTCATGTTCCCGCCTCTCCTCCTTCTATACTCCTTTTTTCCCCTCCCATCCACCTCCTCCCCACCTTTCTCCTCTCCCTCATGATGCGCCCCCATCCTGCACCCCAACTTCCCCGCATCATTTTCCTGATCCTCCTCCTCCGCCTCCTCGTCCGCCTCCACTCACCACCTCCTTTTTCTACGCCAGCCCCTCTCCACACTGGCTAATCCCCTCATGTATCCCCTCCCTGTGGCCCTATTCCTCTCCCAATCACCTGGCATTCAGTTATCCACTGGACGCCGCTGAATCCTCTGATCCCAGCGCTGCGTCTCTTGAGCGATCTGGAAGCCGTCTGCGGAAGCCGCGTTTCAGCGCGCCCTCCCCATATTCTCTGCAAACTTAGACGCCGAAGAGAAGGGAAGAGGGTAGCAGCACATTGAATGATGAGAACGTAGCACAGCAGCGACAAGGAATGCTGCATTCACGCGCCCCACCCCTAGAGCAGCAACACGAACAACAAAGGATAATTAGGATGGAGGACCGCAACGATGATCGATCGACGGCGCCTAACAAGACGACAGGTGACATCACCACGGCAGGGCGAACACACGTCTGAACATGGGGAGGGCGTGCCTGGCGTGCCTCCTCCTGCTCGCCCACACAGGCCGCGACGAGGCGGTGTGGGGCCACCCCGTGGGTGGCCATGCACTCGGCGGGCGGCTGCGCACCGCGCGCGCACGCGCGGCCCATCCGGGAGCGGAGGCGGCTCCTCCGACCGGCCGCTCAGCGCGAAGGAGATGACGCCGAACACGGCCTGGCGAGGCCCGCAGCGCAGCGGCGCCGAGGCGCAGTACTCCAGGGGGCGGCTCATCCACGCGGCCTGGGCCGACCTCGGGGCGGCCCGGGGGAGCCGCGAGGGCACCCTCCTCCCGCACTCCTCCGCTCTCGTCGTCGTCGTCGTCGTCGTCGTCGTCGCGTTGTCGTCGTCGTCGTCGTCGTCGTCCTCTTCCTCATTCTCCTCCTCCTCCTGCTCCTCCTCTTCCTCCTCCTCCTCATCATTATCCTCCTCCTCCTGCTCCTGCACCTACTCCTGCACCTCCTCCCCCTCCTCCTTCTCCTCCTCCTTCTCCCCCTTATCCTCCTCCTCCTCCTCCTCCTCGCTCCTCCTCCCCTTCTTCTTATTATTCGTATATTTATTATTAGCATTATTAGCGTTATCATTGGTAGTCGTATTATTATGATTCGTCTTCTGATTATTCGTCTTAGTATTCGCCTTCTTCTTCGTATTGTTATTATTCGTAGCATTCCTTTATGGCTCTGAGTGGTATGATTATCATCATTCGTAACTCTCGTACTATGTGCATTGCCACACTTATCCGTATTATTAATATGATTATGGGTACTAGCCTTCTTGTCATTAGTGATAAGGCTACGTGTTATGACTGGTACTAGTCATAGTGTTACCAGTATTGGTAGATTACACAATTTTTGCTGATAGTCTTCGTACTA